GTATGCAAGCGTAGTGTTCGCTCACGCAGCCCGCACCCACTTGAAATCCCTTCAGGTTATTCAATCACGATTCTGCAGGATAGCCGTCGGAGCGCCATGGTTCCTTAGGAATGTGGATCTCCACGATGACCTGGAGCTCGACTCTCTTAGTAAGTATCTACAGTCGGCATCGCTGCGCCATTTTGAGAAGGCGGCACGACATGAGAACCCTCTCATCGTAGCCGCTGGAAATTACATACCCGACCCAGTAGACCGAATGGTAAACCGTCGACGTCGCCCAAAGCACGTCATTACGGATCCTCCTGATCCATTAACGGTGCTTTTAGGCACCACAAGCACCGGTCACCGTCCTCGTCGAACCCGTCGCTTGCGACGAAGGGCTCGACGAGCGAATTAACCCCTAGACACAGCCCACTGAGTTTCTCGCCGGATCTTCTCAGTGGGTCGCGTTTCCGATCCGGTGGTAGATTCTGCGAAGCACTGCTCTTGCTAGGGTCAGTGTTGTGTTAGCAACTCTCCGGTTTGAGCCCCGTGAGCTCACCTACACACGTTAGGGTGAAGCTGAAATAGCCTCTCAAGGCTATCAGCATAGGTAGGTTTAAAAAAAAAAAAAAAAAAGGTCAATGAATGATAAAAAATATGTTATTTTTTGTACGTTATTACAAAGTTAAGCCGTACACTATGTGCATTACTAATAAAAATCTTACGTTACGGACGTTTTTTCCGCTTAGAGTACCACCCCGCATCGTCTGATAAGGAACTTCGTTTCAAAATATTGCATTTATTCAGTTGAACTATCAGAATTGTTGTTAGTATTGTCATCTTCATCACTGATGACAGCACTCAGAGATATTATTAATTCTTATTTCAATAATATTGTCTATTCTCACATCTCACTGGTGGTAGGACCTCTTGTGAGTCCGCGCGGGTGGGTACCACCACCCTGCCTATTTCTGCCGTGAAGCAGTAATGCGTTTCGGTTTGAAGGGTGGGGCAGCCGTTGTAACTATACTTGAGACCTTAGAACTTATATCTCAAGGTGGGTTGCGCATTTACGTCGTAGATGTCAATGGGCTCCAGTAACCACTTAACACCAGGTGGGCTGTGAGCTCGTCCACCGACCTAGCAATAAAAAAAATAAAAAAAATCTCGTTCAAAATCTTGTAAAATTATTTTCTTTGTTTTCTCTGCGACTTTTCTCTGGTCTTCTGTAGTAACTTCTGAACACGCAGTTTATAGCAGAGTCACTAGTATATTGCAACAAAATAGCACTGACCACGCTTTCGATCATATCAACCGCATACGGCATAACCATTTACGCACTACACCAATTCACTTAATTCTATTAGACAATCACGATAAATCTTAAGGATAACATACGAGTCAGACCTCTTCGGGCTACGATTATTCGGAACATACCTTCGCTAATTCGTAGCGAAACGCCAGATACACCTTACATTGACCGATCTAATAAAGCTAAAATTTAAACCGACACTAATTTATTTGTTAAAGTTACAGGCGAGTATAACTGTAGCATTAAGCAGTAAGCAGCGGCTTTGGCTCTGCCCCTAGCATTGCTTGAAGTCCATGGGCGACGGTAACCACTCACCATGTTCGTCTGTCTACAGGGGCAATAAAAAAAAACTGAACGAATTTAAATTAAATTTCGCAAAAATTTTATTAAGATACAGAAAATGTTTATCATGGTAAATGATATTCCCCCAAGCAACTAAGGGTATACCTTATTCGCTATAATAAAGACTACAGTCTGTCCGTTGGTTCGTGTTTCTACGAAACGAATCTACAAATCGACTTCAAGTTAATGGTCCAGAGAGTAAGTAAGTAACTCTTTATCTAATCTTTCTTCTTTCTTTTCTTTATCGATCTTAATCCTTAATTGTTTTTTCAATCGGCAAATACAATGCCATTGATTTCTTTCCTGAGATGATTCTTATCCACTTGATGGTTGTATGGGAGAGATCAATTTTAATGATAATACTGCTCATTGTAAAAGAACATAACATAACATCGTACAATGATTTAATGTTTTTCATTCGTTTTCATTTTTATTGGCGGGTAATAAAACATACTCTACCATACGTAGCAAAAGTATATTCTATACTTCTTCAAGTTTGGAACAACGCCAAGCCACTTAAGAAAACTGATTTATTAATTTCTTCAGCTTAATTCTAAGATGAAGCCTGTGGATTATTGCACTTTTTCATTGGCTAACTGAAGCAGACGAGCTTCGTAAAAGCTTTACTAAAGCTCTCGAGAACACTACACGCTTTTAAAATGAAACTTGACCAACTTGAAACGTCCGTAAAATGCTCGTGGTACACTTATAATAGTATAGACCGGGTACCAATCACACACGATCGTTTGACGTCAAACTAGAATTCCCTGTACTACAGAAAGGAAGAGACTGATATACAAACATATGTACATAAAATTTTAAACACCCAGACAAAAAGATAATCAACCTGTCCATAACAGGAATGTTTGCCCAACGCGGGAATCGAACAACCTGGGACCCAGCAATCAGAGGAATTAGGTACTAGTGGTAGGACGTCTTGTGAGTCCGCGCGAGTAGCTACAACCACCCTGCCTATTTCTGCCGTGAAGCAGTAATGCGTTTCGGTTTTAATGGTGAGGCAGCCGTTGTAGCTATACAGAGACCTTAGAACTCATATCTCAAGTTGAGTAGCGGCATTTAAGTTGTAGATATCTATGGGCTCCGTTTACGATTTAACACCAGGTGGGCTCTTAGCTCGTCCACCCGTGTAAGCGATAAATAAATAAAATACTTATATATCTTATAAAATCTTCTAATATTTATTAACTAGGGTGATAGCTATGTAACTAAATGAGTGGCAATTAAAATTTGCATTCACAAAAGGGTTGAGATATATAAATGATTTTACCGCGACGAATCGAGAAACTTTCATCTTCAAACGTTAAACACTTCTAATAAACAAAATGCATCTGCCTTTATACACGTTCATGCACAAACAGACTTTGCATTATAGTTAGTACAAATTGGACGGGTCCGTGTTGAGTGGTCGCTGTGGGCTCGAGAGTCAACAGCGGGAATTGAATATGCATCATTAGTTCTGCAGCCGACAGGTGGACTACGTATTGTGCCAAACGTGGAGACCACTCGAAATGGACCACTTGACATTCTAAGCTCTACATCTATATATAATACGCGAGTTGGAGAGTTTTGTGAATAGGTTTAAATGTTTGAAAAATAAAAAAGAAAACAACTAAATCGTGGTTTCAGGTTGAGCTCCGTGACATTGACGAAGGATCGTCGACGAAATGGATATATAAATAAACTAGAGAGTCCAACACTCATGTAAATATTAGCCTATCCATTATCTACATGTATTTTCTACATGGATACCAAGTTTCAAGTCAATCGGATGCATGGTTCAGTAGTTATAACGGAACATCCGTAAAAACCACTGTAGATTTATATATTATTAGTATAGATAAAAAAACACGTGTGGCACTATTAAAATAGTAGAAAGCTCGCTAGATTTATAAACAGTAGATGATGACCGAGCTTTGCTTGGTTTTTTTTTTGATAAGCCATCTTGTTTTGTCTTTAAAGCGGTTAGTTGCCCTCAATTAAGAAAAATAGTATTATTATTCGCCAATAGATGTCGGGAAGAGTTGATAATTGAAAACACGGATAATGTTTTTAATGAAAAGACAAAGTTATTTTTAACAACATTTTCTGAAAATAAATCGTAGCTAGATTGATTTATCGCCCCCGAAATCCCCTGTATACTACATTTTATGAAAATCGTTAGAGCCGTTTCCGAGATTCAGATTATATAGGTATATATTAATATACAAGAATTGCTCGTTTAAAGGTATAAGATTAACAAAAGCAAAACATTAACTTTCCCCTTCACACTCATAAGTTAGACCGCGCGAGAGAGAGATGGGCAGACTTTTCTTGATGCGCATGCAGTGCGACGTCACGCCGCGCGCTTATTCACAAACACTACACAAGCGCAACGTGTGGATGTGTTGAACGCGAGCTACATGATAGGCGGAGTGGGGGTGTTAGGTTTTATTTTCGTTACAAAATTTCTTGATTCAGTCGCCGCGCCCAAAGCCCGCGATTAAAGCTATGCAATAACTTAAAATGTACCTAAACCGTGCGTGCTGAATACGAGTCCTTGTACACTAGAAACACTCAAGCAAGCAACGAGCAAGGTCTCTGTTGACTGAGGTCTATACTCTCTTTTCTTGTCTCAAAGAAATTTGGCAACTTCAGTATCGTTTGTTGTAAGATAACTGCAAGTCCTTTTCAAGACATAAACAGAACAGTTCAGCCGCTCATGTTCAGTTCGCCTGGCTCACTTTATTTACCAAATATATTTTTACAGCCGATTTCAACGGATGAATAAGCTAGCCCAAGGTATAAGTATCATAATTAATCAAAGAAACCACATCTAATTTTGTTCAACCTTTTAGGGATTGGCGGACACAAACGCGCAGACGGCCGAAAATATCCAAGACAAGAACAAAAATGAGAGCTTGCTAGGAAAATATTCCCTAAAGTATAAGTGTCGAGCTAATATTTGCCCATCCAATCAAGCCCCTAGAAATGTAAGAAAACAGCGTTGGAAGGAATCAAGATTAATATATTTTTGCTGCGCACTAATCATGGAGCTATGATCGCAGTGGCATACTTATCATCTACAATACCCACAAAGAGATAGTCACTACTTACTTACTTACCACCACCCTACTTATTTCTGTCGTGAAGCAGTAATGCGTTTCGGTTTGAAGAGAGGGGCAGCCGTTGTAACTATACTTGAGACCTTAGAACTTCTATCTCAAGGTGGGTGGCGCATTTAGGTTCTAGATGTCTATGGGCTCCAGTAACCACTTAACATCAGGTGTAATGTGAGCTCGTCCAACCAACTAAGCACTAAAAAAAAAACCTTTGATACAATTGAAAATTGACGTATACTTCCTACCTTCTCTGAGTTCCTCCCGGTACGGGAGTCGCAGCAAGCCTCGCCTGTCTCTTTAGCAATTGCACGGTTAGTGCGAAAGACACCACCATCGTCAGCATCGGAATGTAAAACGCAACCAGAGACCCGAATATCCAGAAAAGCCTGTTGTTGATCACACACAAATCCGGCGTCGGCATTATATTCGTCTTGTTGATCAGACCTGTCGGAATTAATAAAAATGTTAATATACGTGTCAGACTAGTCAAATACCCGGTTTTAAGAGTAGGACAACATTATTACAAACGAAATTAGGACTCTCGCTTCAAATCTATGTGATACGGTAACCACTAAGCACAATGTAAGTCGACTAATCTAAACCAGTTATAAGACTTAGTTGCGCTTTCGACGCACTTAATTTTTTTATTCTACATTTAATTTTGATAATTAAATCAGTGCAATTAAGGCTTACATTAAACGAAAACTATAACTTCGCTAACCGAATATACCACAGACATAAATTTCGTCTCGCAACACATCTATATATTAATACGTGAAGCAAAAACTTGGTAGGTATCCCTTTTTACGAAAATTTCGCGGACGGAGGAGTATGAAATTTTCCACACTTATAAAGAATATAGAGAAGAAGTGCACAATGCTAATATTTTTTTTAAATAATGCATAATAGATACATTAAATCAATAAAGAAAACATTACACACACTACATACCATGTATTTGACGCACACGAATGCTATTACTATTTATTGTCAAACTTTTGTTCTTGGCGTCTGTTGTCAAATTGAGAATAGATTAAATATTGTTTGCCTTTGTTAATATTTGTTACAGTGTAGTCTTGGCGAAATTTGTGATTATAGAAGTATAAAATACAATCATAATAGTGTACAAACTTACAATTCCAATTAATTATAGTCGAATTTCGACTACTGCGGGACCTCTCGTTTTGATAATTAAGTCAGTGCAATTAAGGCTTATATTAAACGAAAACTATAACTTCGCATATCAAATATATCACAGACACATCACATAAATTTTGTCTCGCAAAACATTAATCTAATTTGACAGCACACAAGAAAAATCAAAAGAACATTTCCCCAGCTCATCTTGCCAACTTACACTCCCGTGCTAATATCCATTAGCTAGAATACCATTAATGTTCTCTTTGTGGTATAACGCAAATCACTGAATCGATTACAACGACTTAGAGAACTCTGGCCCTCGTCCAAATAGCTGACGAAATTTCAATTTCAAATCAATGTAAATCCGACGCTACCAACCTAGAGGTTTCGGAAATGTTAACTAGAATTTTGAACAAGTGTCAACTATAGAATATTGGAGTAGTATTAATTAAGGACATTGTTCCTGAAGGCGAATAGGTGACTCAACTAGTGATATCCGGAATTATTTTTAGCCATCTGATACCCTCGTATGATTGTATCATTACTTTCCAGCACCATGTATATTATTAATCTTTAACCCATGGTAATTTTTCTTTTCGATGATGCGATGGTCTTTGCCTATTATTTTATCCAGTGTTTGTTTAAGCGGATTGAATATTGGAAAACTCAAACCTAATAGCCAATTCTGCATTAAACTATAACTTAGCGTCTAGGAAATAATAATTTATTAGTGGAAATGCTAGGAGCTTAAATACGCTCAAAGTATTTGGACCTTCGGTAAAGTACTTTAATTTATTATTGGGAGCACGCTAGGGTGAAAATGTTTCGACTTTAGAAACCGCTTCATTAATTAGCAGACAACAAAACAAAATTATTTACGAATCTTCACATTAAGATTTAATGGTGTGACCCATTTGTTGTACTCACGCCACAATCTAAAATATTAAAAAGGTATTTTTCGAATACTTTTTTTTTTAAATAGCCTTTAAATGCGGCTATTATTTAAAATGTCTCCTCATCTATTTTCCTAAGTGGTAATATTATCTTTTATGGTATTTTGAGTGTTGGAAGGCGAAAACGTGATTGTATATTTTAGGCAATTGTACCAACTAACCCAAAAAATAAATCTAAGCCAAGATGCCTACAAGCCCTAACCTCTAAATTTCATAACGCATGCGATTAGAGAATGTAGATGAAGAATACGAGGCACTGGACAACAGAAAAGATCCCAATGGTCAAAATATCGATCAACTGTTTGCCCCTAAAGAAATAAGATAAGACAATCCTGCATATTTTCGCAGTAAATCGATCATGCATTGCGCATCAAGTAACAGAACAGCAGTAGCTGAACATTCGTCGAAATTTTGATCTAAAACAGTATTTTTATAATTTGGAATTTAAATTCATAAAAAAATTACCACGAAAGCCAAATGATATTGAGGGCTCACGGCAATTCAATTTGCTTAAACAGACATTTCTATGACAATGACATTCGAGTTAAAATATTAACGAACTGAACAAAAATTTTCATCTTTAATTTTCATATTCATTCAACGTTCATTCAACGTGAAATTTTAAATAAAATTCGAGAGATTCGATTGTAGGATGAAATTAAAAAGGTTTTCTTTATAAAAAGTACTAGCTGACCCGGCAGACTTCGTAGTGCCTCAATCGATAAATAAAAGACCTAAGCTTTGGTATAAAATAAACTTAAAACAAACAAAACGAATCCGTCCGATCGGCTCATATTGTGTAAATGTTTCGAGCTGCACCATTTTTATTTATTCGCCAAGATTATCAAAAACGATTCAACCTTAGCGGATAAATCTTAGAAAAATTTAATTACATTTTCGAATTTAGATTCTGTTTTGTGCAGTACACAACATTGTGTACGTTTGTATGTGTGTGATTAATACTATATACATACATATTTTACATAAATTATGTATTATACATAGTATAAAGTCTGTACATAGTAAACACAATGCTGTTTTTTATAGATTCAAAGTAGCAACACTTCCTCGTGTAATCATAGTTAAGCGTTGTACTGGATTATGATAACAGCATTCTTTTAGTATTAAAATTTACTTATTATTTATTCGTAGGTATTAGATCAGATAACTCGGCTCTTCAATTTACCTTTGACATTAAATAAGACAGATCGTGAGCTACATTCAATGTAAACGAACAATAACATCGTCTGTGGCGACAACGTAAACTTTCCAGTGTTCGAAAGAACAAAATCGAAAATCATTTAATGAAAATAACGAACCCGAGCTAAAACAGAAAACGTAATTAAATAAAAATTAATTGAGTTATGTTTGCGACTCGAACATGGCGTATAGTATTTCAAATTGAAAGCTTTTCGAATTTGCTGACATAATTCACGAAAGAAAATAATTTGCAGCAAATAATTGGTGGTAGGACCTCTTGTGAGTCCGCGCGGGTAGGTACCACCGCCCTGCCTATTTCTGCCGTGAAGCAGTAATGCGTTTCGGTTTGAAGGGTGGGGCAGCCGTTGTAACTATACTGAGATCTTAGAACTTATATCTCTAGGTGGGTGGCGCATTTACGTTGTAGATGTCCATGGGCTCCAGTAACCACTTAACACCAGGTGGGCTGTGAGCTCGTCCAACCATCTAAGCCATAAAAAAAAAATTAAGAACTTTTCGAGACTCGAACGGTGCAGGAGTCCTTTTACGACGATATCCAAAGAGATATTGAGAATTTCTGCAATTGCTGAAAAGTTCAAGTGCATTTGAGATCACTTGTAAAGAAACAAAGGAATATAGACAACTCCGATAGCATGAATCTTTGAATTACAAAGACTTTTATTAAATTTAGAACAGAATATCTCGATAATGTTGAATACTTTTGATTGAGATCAATAGAAGATGAGTTTACGGGCCAACTGAATTAACTGAATATTGTTTAAGAATTCTCTTAAGGTTGGCCACGCGGTAACGCTACAGAAACACCAAGTAAGCGAATGTATCTCACGATTACAGAAGTCGCCAGCCATCTTGAGACGTGAGGTCGATTTCTATTATTGATACGACGGAGCCCAGTTGGATTGGTTGAAGAGTTGATTGAAGAGATCTTTAACCCACAGTTAATAACTGCTTCGCAGCAGAAATAGGTCGGCTGGTTCTGTTCGCGCCGTATCTTACCATTATGCACGAAATAAAAACATCTAAAATAGAATGTAATTCTACATCCTTCTGTCCTAAGAACATTCATTCATAACCTCGAAAACCATAAAGTATTTGAAAGGTAAAAATAGTAAAAAAATAATAGCTTAAAAAAACAAAAAAAAAATACGCTTTTATAGAAAATTAAATTAAAAAATAGAAAATAAATTTTAATAAATTTGAATTAAAAATTGTGTAAGAGAAACTGATTTTATTGTAAAAAAAAACGTGAAAAGACACTTCGGGTCTTCGGGTCAAGAAAACTAAAAATCGCTAATCCTGATTATCCTAGTAAGGATAACGGATCAAACTGCTTAAAATATTGAATTGTCATCGGTCCTTAATAAGTATGCCAAATTTCGAGTAAATCTGACGTTTTGAAGGGGGTCAAAATCATGTTCAAAGATTCCGTTAAATACATACTAACATACGTATGAAGCTAATAAAAGCGTATTAACATGAAAAAACGCTAGAATACATACTTATGTGTATTAACAATAATATCATCCCAACTTCGTATATAAGCTACTTACAATGAAATATTCATTCGAAAAGTTAAGTCAAACCGAAAGAGTTATTTTGTTAATATGCAAAGGACACATCTCAGAATTCAGATAAGCTTTCATGTAGAGTTCGTAACAAGAATCGGTGGTAAAGTTCGACGAGAAACTTAAGAAAGTCGAGTTTTCACGACGAACATTCCTTGCAGGTTATAATCACAAGACTGTATTTTACGTTCGACTTACAGGCCGTTAACGAGAACTTGTAAAACTTCGAGTATCAAAAACCGTAAAAGCTCTGTTTAAGTTCAGCTTAATCTTTTTCAATGTGCCTATTTTTTGGCTGTGTTCAGCTGTGGCTGTGGCTGTTTCCTGGTATATTTCTGGCGGACATATTTTAATTTAAATTCTCATTCATGTTGAAATGTATCTTAATACAAATACAACTATTATTATTACGGTTTCATCTCGTATTTATTTATTAATTACTAGCCGTACTCACCCGCATTTAAAATTAACATTATTATTTATTGTCATTATTATTAGGGAGTCCAACACTCATATAAATATTAGCCTATCCATTAAGTAAATGTATTTTCTACATGGATACCATGTTTCAAGTCAATCTGATGCATGGCTCAGTAGTTATAACGGAACATCCGTAAAAACCACTGTAGATTTATATATTAGTATAGAAGTATAAATAAATTTTCGACGATTACAATAGTTCACAGTCTTCGTGCTCGCGGGGGAGTTTTTGTTCATCCACAATCGAGCATTGACCTTTAATAACCTCCACCATAGCTTCATGTCACTCGAAATGGCTCAGCTCAAGACGCTGATTTATGAGAATTACCAATTATAATATAGTTACTTCATAAAATCTTACCTAATACCGTAATTGAACTGGAGACCACCATGCTGAGTAGCCACACGAGTGCTATCTTGATGACCACAAGCCTCTTCGTTGAGTGATGGCGACTCTTCAACGGGTTCCGTATACCGAGATACCTGAGATCACAAAAACGCTGTTAATTATAAAAATGAACTAAATATGTACGTTTTTATAAAACCGCTACAGTAATTTAAACTAATTATTTTTTTATTGTGGTTACCGGGGCCCATAGACATCTACAACGTAAATGCCGTCACCCACCTTAAGATATGAGTTCTAAGATCTCAGTTTTTACAATACAACGATTGCCCCACCCTCCAAACCGAAACGCATAACTGCTTCACGGCAGAAACAGGCAGGGTGGTGGTACCTACCCGCGCGAACTCACAAGACGTCCTACCACCAGTAATTACGTAAATTATAATTTTGCGGGTTTGACGTTTATTACGCGGCGTTATTCCTTCACCGTGGAAGTCAATCGTCAACATTTGTCAAGTACGTACTTCATTAGAGAAATTGGTATCCGCCTGTGGGATTCAATTACCTTGACTTAGTTGTTCATTAACATGCTGTGACACTTGAGCTACGGTGACCACTAACTATCGTATGCTCATCTACCTTCGGGAACAAGGAAAAGTGTATCAGTACGTAGAAGAGTTTTAATGTAGCGCTTAAATGTATACAGTCTATAATTGTATACTTTGAAAGTCTTTTTAGTATCTATGGTGGCCCCGGATGGATATGTATAACAATCCGGTATATTTCTGCCGCGAAGTCAAAACGCGTTTCAGTTTTACAAAACTTATCCTATCTCGAATTTGCTGTTGGCACTTTCTGAAATTTATAAGCTTCATTTAACATCAGGTGGGCTGTGAGCAAAACAAATTGTCTATTTGTTTGCTCTGATATGGCGGAGACATTGTGATGTAGATCGATAGATATCGATGATATTCTTTTCGAAGGGTGGGGCAGCCTTTGTAACTATACTTGAGACCTTAGAATTTATATCTCAAGGTGGGTGGCGCATTTACGTTGTAGATGTCTATGGGCTCCAGTAACCAGTACCGTCTACCACCAATTGAATATTTCTATCATTAAATTTCTTAATAAAATTATTGACAATACCAATCTTTTGCAAAGACAGTAATGTAAATCGAATTCAACACAGATTGAGCCAGAGACGTATAAAACACAGAATCGTATCGTGTAAGTCAAGACAAATGAAGCAACGCTAAGAAGCAATTACTGGTGGTAGGACCTCTTGTGAGTCCGCGCGGGTAGGTACCACCACCCTGCCTATTTCTGCCGTGAAGCAGTAATGCGTTTCGGTTTAAAGGGTGGGGCAGACGTTGTAACTTTACTGAGACCTTACAACTTATATCTCAAGGTGGGTGGCGCATTTACGTTGTAGATGTCTATAGGGGCTCCAGTAACCACCTAACACCAGGTGGGCTGTGAGCTCGTCCACCCATCTAAGCAATAATAAATATAATTAAAAAAAACTACGTATCAGCCGTGAAATTATTCACCCACATATATGGTATAACAACAAAAAAAAAACTTTACGTAAAAATAAAACAAAAACGACTGACTGACTACACACACAAAAAAAACGGAATGCCTTTTTCTCTCGTCAAAACGAAAAAAAAAAAACCATTTGCGATTTTATTTTCGTATTCCGAGCGGTTTGGATCAATTGATTTTCTAAATAACGAAACGTATTTCGGCTGAATGCATGTTTGAAAAGCACCGAGACCCGAACCTCGAATGATCCTTTTTATTATGGAACAAAATTAAATATGGACGCTCAACATTTTAAAAGAAAGAAAAGATTTTGATCGACACGATCTAATTTATGCTTTCGGTGGCCCGACAAACTAACGGGTCATCTGGTGTTAAGAGATGTTAATTTCAAAGGTTATATCGAAAAAAATATTACATAGGTAAATTTTTTTTTTTTTTTTTTTGTTATGATTGAAATTTTATCGTTCCGACGCTGACTTCATGTATTTCCGAATTGATTCGAGGCCCAGGTCGTCATGTAGGTCAACGTTCCTCACGAACCACGGAGCCCCGACAGCTAACCTGCAAAAGCGGGATTGTAGGGATTGGAGGGTGTCTATGTGTGTGCGGGCCGCGTGAGCGAACACCACACTCGCGTAAGTCATGACGGGCCTTATGCAAGTTTTGTAAAGTGTCACCTTGTTCCGAAGGGACATTTTACTCCGCTTACAGATCATGGGGTAGAGTCTACCGAGAATAAACGCGGCACGGTCACGGACTGATTTTATATGCGGGCGGAATGTCATCGATGCATCCAGGGTAACGCCCAGGTACTTGACCTTCCTGGCCCAGGGTAT